GACTCAAACAAAACGGAACTTTCGAAACATATTTGGAAATTAAAAGAAAACAATCAGGATTATACCATCAAATGGTCAATTTTAAAACACGCTATTTCGTACACAGGGGGATCAAAACGCTGCAATTTATGTTTGGAAGAAAAATTTTGCATTTTGAAAGACATAAACAAAGACAATTTACTCAATAAAAGAAGCGAAATTTTCGGCAAATGTCGTCACAAAAACCGGTTTCGAGTAAACAAGGTCGTTAACAAAACCTAATGACCCAAGCATGCATTGTTTCACCTAAGCATTGTTTCGCCTACACACATTCCGCACATTCTTTCGATAGCATAAAAGCAACCTACAATTTCGAAATTATTCACCACCTGATGATTCCTATACGGATGAAACAGACTGTTGTGGTTTTTGAGGTAAAACGAAAAACTATATTACGCTCTATCTATATGGTATTGAGCACTGTTTGTGTTTCGTAAACCAAAATCTTAAGCTATATATATATATATATATATATATATATATATATATATATATATATATATATATATATATATATATATATATATATATATATATATATTTTATAGAAGACCCTCAGATATGGAAATGCATTTGTTGCAAATAAATCACCACCTGATGATTCCTATACGGATGAAACAGACTGTTGTGGTTTTTTGAGGTAAAACGAAAAACTATATTACGCCCTATCTATATGGTATTGAGCACTGTTTGTGTTTCGTAAACCAAAATCTTAAGCTATATATATATATATATATATATATATATATATATATATATATATATATATATATATATATATATATATATATATATATATATATATATATATATATATATATATATATATATATATATATATATATATATATATATATATATATATATTTTATAGAAGACCCTCAGATATGGAAATGCATTTGTTGCAAATAAGGAAGCACTTTTATACTTTGACGTTTATAATTGACAAATAATAATATCAATAATTCCCAATGCATAATTTAGATTATAACTTTGTTATTCTTATTTACCCAACCATGTGACTGTTATCAAGGTTTCGTTGGTAAGGATGAAACTATACCTGAAAAATATAAAAACAAAGAGAAATTGTTTCGAGCGAAGGCACTTCGTCAGGTAGTTGCATCCCAACCAACGAAAGTTTTATTGTTATCATTGGCACCACCTACACTGGCACAGATCATTCAAGATTATGTGTCTTATGCATGTATATAACAATTATGAAAAATATATGACAATATGTATACATATATCGCAGTTTTATTGAAAATTGTATAGCGGTATTAAAGCAGTAGGAGCCTTTTAAATTTGGTCAGAGATATTTTTAAGTCTATATATGAAAGTAAGTCTTTTACCTTGTATTACACGAAGACGTTTGTTGCCGGGACAAAATCCTGGACAAAATCACCTAAAATTATTGAACTATACCCTTTCTAAAAACCTTGTCTCGGTTGTTTTAGTTCGATGTAGGAACTAAAGAGTAAAGAAGTCGAATGCTGCATGAGTTATAATAGACCAGTCACAGAACATACGCAAAAGTTTAGTGTGTTGTGTGGACGTAAACGTTTAGTGTGTCATGTGGATGTAAAAGTTTAGTGTGTTATGTGGACGTAAAAGTTTACTGCAGTGTTGTGTGGATGTAACGTTACGTGGACGTAAAAGTTTAGTGTGTTGTGTGGGCGTAAAGTGATGTGGACGTAAAAGTTTACTGCAGTGTTGTGTGGATGTAACGTTACGTGGACGTAAAAGTTTAGTGTGTTGTGTGGGCGTAAAGTGATGTGGACGCAAAAGTTTAGTGTGTTGTGTGGACGTAAACGTTTAGTGTGTCATGTGGATGTAAAAGTTTAGTGTGTTATGTGGACGTAAAAGTTTACTGCAGTGTTGTGTGGATGTAACGTTACGTGGACGTAAAGGTTTAGTGTGTTGTGTGGGCGTAAAGTGATGTGGACGTAAAAGTTTAGTGTGTTGTGTGGGCGTAAAATTATGAGTTGATCTGCATCTAAGGACGAGAGCGGACTTACAGCCTCATTAATATCATTATCGAGACGTAGGCATAAGCAAAATCGCTGATTCCTACTAAATCTGTCCAGAACAGACACTTGACACTGCCTATTTTCACGTGATTGGAGGCGATATATTTTGTGTATCCAATGCACACTGTATAGAGCGTTATTTTATACTTATTATATGCTATTTGAACGCCAGGGTTGGGCAAAATCAACGAGTAAAAACGTTGCAAAAGCATACGTAGATGTACAATAACAGCAAATCATTATACGCTTTATTATGCGAATAACTAATTATATAGTAATGCATGGTTGCACGCATATATAATAAACTAAGGCAGCGTTTACACTGTACCGTTTTCGTAGCGTTCTCGTATTGTTCGAGAGAACTAGACTATTGTCTTGCGTTCCCTTGAGGATTAAGAACAATACGAGAACGCTACGAAAACGGTACAGTGTAAACGCTGCCTAAATACTGTTCCACAACACCGTGTGCACACCATTTCATGTCGTTCCAGAACAGTGTTCCAAATGTTCTAGAACAGTAAATGGAGCAGCCTAGCTGATTGATGAAATATTATGATTGATGAAATATATAAGTGCACAGAAAGCGAGTATATCTATAGCTGGAGTATGTAAACATTGCATAAATGAATATAAGTCCGCTTTCGTCCTTAGATGCAGGTCAACTATGTGGACGTAAAAGTTTAGTGTGTTGTGTGGGCGTAACGTTATGACTATGTGGACGTAACGTTACGTAGACGTAAAAGTTTAGCCGGTGTGTTGTGTGGGCGTAAAGTTATGTGGACGTAAATATGTTTAGTGTGTTGTGTGGGCGTAAAAGTCTTGAAGGCTTGAATTCATATGAGGCAGGGTAAATAGTCCGTGTGACCCGATATCGTTCACTTTCATTAAGCATGTCTTAGATCTGAAATATTTTGACGGGAACTAACACTTTCAAGCACGCTGAGTTCAAATCCAAAAGTCCCCACTCCGTAGACCCGCAGTTTTCTCACAAAATGTTATTTTATCTTCAATAATTTCACGACAAATTTTTCATTGTTCAACGACGTGGATCAATGACGATACACGACGGACCAATTTCTATTAACCAGTCTTCCTTTTAACAAAAGACCGGTTTTGCTCGAATCATTTTGAGTTATGCAATCTTATGCGTGCAACAACATATCTTGTCTACAACTTTGAGAAAGGACAGATAACGCTTTCTAAAATCCTCAGTTCTAGGGATATCTCTATAAAATCACAAGGACATTAATGCGAAATCTTTTGGCTATGTTACTGGCCTGAAAAAGAACTCTTTTAATTAACGCGATCAAGGTTTTAAAACGAACATGAGTAACACGAAGCCAACGTAACGGCAAAGACAACGCTAAAATGAAATATGGTCGATTGGTCGCTGGTATAGAACACTTACGACAGGATCAATATTAAATAACCTTAAACTATAAGAATAAATGTTCACATCAAAGACAGAGATCAGTCCCAAAGTATGAAATATGCTCTGTAAACTTACGACGAAGTGGAGAAATGCGTGCATGAGCTGTTTATTTACCTGCTTTCAACGTATATCGAAGCCCTCCTTCCAATAATATTCCGGCTGTCGCACAGTACAACACGAACTGATGTAATAGTTCAAATGCAATGATAAGTTATCTCTTGAATACATTCATTTTACACGAGACCAGAACAAACTCACAGCTGGATGATTTTTTTAGTCATAGACAGACTCATAGTATAGTATCTATAGGCACTGTTTATATGAAACCATATCGATAAAATGGTCAAACCGCCTGCTCACTCGGGAAATGATTAGTTTTGTTATCCCAAGAGTCTCGGCAAATGCCCAAGATGGCGGGTATGAACACTGTGAACTCGTTGTTCTCTTTAATCATGTTTATTTGCACAGTAAGTGTAACTCCAGTTCATAAACACGATCATAATACAGAACAGTCTGAGGAGAGAATCTCATCGTCGGCTAATTTGAGTAGCCTTGGATGGATAAGTTTTAGAGACAAATATGGTTTCTATCCAAATATGGTTTCTATGCTCCTCTTATTCATGTTGTTGATTCTACTCTGTGGTGCAATATTTCCTCAAACCCTGCACCTCCTCCTCGGTCGAGTAAGTCCGATCTAAATTGCTTTTTGGGCAACGCAAGAAGTCTAAAAAGTGTTCACCGAGTCGAGAACGAAGTACAATTACAGCTGAAACTATAACATGAATCGTTTTCAAGACTATACTTATGCGAATAACTTTGATGCCGTGGCAGTTACTGAATCTTGGCTTTCCAGTGATGCTCAGAACCGCATAAAAACAGTCGGGCATACATCTAAATAATATTACCACACTTTTGCTGCCGGCGTACGTGCCAAAATGCTTTCTTTCATAGTTGGAAAATTGGAGGAGGGGGGTTTGGCACTGTCTACGTGTCAGTGAAAAGCATTATAGCCCTCATAACAACAAAGACAAATGTGAATCTTGCTCTTTTAATATATATTTTACTACAGATTTTATACTCAAACAATATTTATAGCTATTCTCCAGTCACTCTATACATGTGTCCAAACAAGAAATGTTTCATACAAGTTCCTCGGCGTTAACTTCCCTATTGCATAGCTAAACACGCTTTATGATATAGCATCTTGCTTTTTACATATTTATTGGTATGGTCTAATGATGTAAGACACTGAATAATGTATATAATTTAGTTCACATCTATCAATACAGAATAATTTCACGAACCAAACCATATACATGCCTGCTATATAGTATTTCACGATATGGTCTACTTTCTATAGACCCTGTGAAGATTGGCAATCTAAGAAATCCATTAACCATACAAAATACCTAACACCTGTAGAGTTCCTTTTACCTGTCTCAATCATTGACAATTTTAACAGTATAGATACTTTATGTCAAATTAAAGTTAGAAACAATTCAAAGTTCAGCCACAATGACTAGAGATGTCTCAACTGCCCTCACCAACACATCAATAATCACTCCTCCCAATTCCTCTTCAAGATCAGAAGCAGCATTTGCACCATCTTGTGTTGGTTGTGGTATTTGCGTATAGCCATCACCAGTCTCTTGTATTGGAGGCCTACCATCACCTCCAGATTGCACCGCTCTCGTCACTTGACTATCTTCTGCTTGCTGAGCAATTCCTTCATTTTCCCCTTCATTTCTATTTCCATAATTTTCTTCCTCGCTTGATGTAGGGCGTTCCTGTTCTTCATCCATTGGTGATCTGGGGAGGCAAAAATGAAAAGAAGTCATTTGAAGTCAGTCTAGTTCCTGCCTTTCACTTCCGTTATGCTAGCTGCGCTGGCAAGAGACAGGTAGTGAGAAGGCCTAGCACAATTCGCAAATCTGCCCTTCTTGGAATCACTTTTACCCTTCGAGTAGCCCTAGGTTCTACATATTTACGTATACATCGATGCTTTTTGTATAACGTTGTGCCTTTGGGATGAACAATGAAGATTTTTCGAGTTGGAAGGAAAAGGAAAGACATGTACTGGCAGTTCGTGTAAGGTTACTTTATGAATTTAGGACTATAAGACCAAGTTGACGAATTTCGCTAGTCCTCCTCCCGTGGTTCAAAATCGATCCAGTCACGCGGGCCTGGGAGGCTAATTTGAAATCTGTATTAAACTTGAACTAATACGTTCTAATCAGAAAATGTCAGAAATGCAGTTAATGCATGAGCATAAGAAATATAAAAATGTTCTGGGAGAGGACCTGCAGACCTTCCTATTTTCTTCACAAGTCACGTACGTGCTGGGGCGCCCATGGTACACCCCCACCCAAAATCGCGTGTGCCTGGGCTTTCTCCCAGCCAACCAAACCAGTATTCTGCTGCCTATAGTATAGAAATTAATAGTCTATCACAACTTTTAACGTTAAAAGTCTAATTCAGGATGCTTTGTAATTACCATGTATATGTACAGCCTCGTACCCAGGCTCTTTAGTAATAAATAGCGGCTTTAGAGCTCTGGGCAGCGCGCGGGGATTCCCCGTATTTTGACAAAAATGCAAACATGAAAGAATTAACAATTTGGAATTTGTTTAGAAACTATATATTTAAGAATTAAATTTGATTCAAAGGCAGATACTTGTTATAAATACATGCTATAGACATTGCAGAAATAAGACATGAATTTCTAAAATATAGTCCCGTTTGTGTTTTAACAAAAGGTTATATAGTTGCTGACTTCATAATAGTTTATAATAATTAATATATATAATTTTTCATAATTTTAAATATCAGTAGTTTATTAGTCATCATAATATAGCATTTGTAAATTCTGGACGCTGATTGGCTAAGAGCCGTGTTGATATAACTCGATGTCAACACGGAAAATTTCTTTCATTATATTTCTTTGTGCTATATTATAAAAAAATATAAAACATTTTTCCGTATTGGTATACACTCGTGGAAATTACTTGTACAGCAATATTAGCAAAACTTACTGAACTTTAGACGTAATTTTTTCCTCTTTGTAGCAACGTCTTTGTAGCAACGTCTTTGTAGCAACTTACCATATCAATGTCAGCCGATGCCAAAACATGCATGCAGCATATATATAATAATATGTATACTTGCCTCGAAGACGAAGTATATATAGCTGACCTGTTCTCAGTGTAACTAAAATATACTATATAATAGACATACGAATGTTTATTTTATAGTAGAGAGTGAGATACTGAAAAATACACAGTGAGATATTTTCCATATCTTCACTAGTGAAGATATCGATCACGTGACTTTTCCAATTTGCTTTTGAGCGTGAATTTTCACAATTTTTTGCTTGGGACTATATAATAAACAGAACATTACACGGTGGCTTGAAGATATGACTTTTATCTTCTCGTGTTAAAAACAATATTTTACTCACTCGCTGCGCTCGTTCGTAAAATATTGTTTTCACCACTCGAAGATAAAAGCCATATCTTCGCGTCGCCGTGTAATATCCTCTATATTTGTATGTCCCAATTTGTCAAAATCTATGTCCATACTAAACTATTTAACCGCTAAATTACAAATTAAACGAAAAACGATACTTACCTGAATTTCTCCCAAATCGATATTAGATCGATGCATGGCACGTCATTTAGTAAGTGTCGAAATCTTGGCGCCTATTACTTCGCAGGTGCGTGGGTGTATAGATAGCCGCAGCGTATACCCATACCCGTTTGTATGCACGCATGCATAAATATTGAGAAACTATTTGGAATCTGTTTAGAAACTATTTAAGAATTAAATTCGAATCAACGGCGTATACTTGATATAAATACATGCCACTGTACAAGCATTGTAGACTTGAAAATGGAAGCGAGGTATAGCGAGGTATAATCACTATACTGTAGAGGGGGTCAAAAGATCAGACGTTTTACATTGTTCGACATGGTTGAACTGATATGATGTATAAAACATGAATTTCTAAAATATAGTCCTGTTTGTGTTTTAACAAAAAGTTAGTTGCTGACTTCACAATAATTTATATCTCGATTTATATGCACATTCAAAATTAGACACATATACGCGCGGGGTACAAGTAATTTTTCATAATTGTTAATATACATAACCAGGGGCGTAGGAAGCATCAAAAGGGGCACCGGCTTCCAGTGGCACTTTTGGATATGGAAAAGGCACCTAAAAAAATTTTCTAGGAAACGTTGGCGACATTTTCTCGTCATACTATACCGAAATTGCACGTTTTTGATCAAATATTTTTTAAAAACATGGAAATTTCCAAACAAAAAGGGCGCCTTTGATGTTAATTTAGTATTTACAGCGACATTAGCTTGTACAAAAAGCCGGGCACTTTTCATCACAAAAAAAGGGCACTTTTGGTCCTTCGAAAAAATTGGGGGGCACGTGCCCCCTGTGCCCCCCCCGTTCGTACGCCCCTGTACATAACTAATAAGAGTTACATAATCTTGAATGGTCTTTGCCAGTGATAACAAGCTTTCGTTGGTATAGGGATGCAACAACCCGACAAAGGACCTTCGCTCGAAACGTCGAATTTCGCTTTGTCTTTTTACCGTTTCAGGCACAAATATCTTATATACACTAGATAGGGCATCTAATTATTCTGCAATTCAAAAATTGAAGCCGTGATTGCAGACTCAGGATATTCCCATGAAATGAGAAGACTCGTATGTTTTCTATTTCTTAAACAGGGAACTTAAACATTAAGTTAAACCTATTCCAAATACATTTTCAAACTGTTCAAATGATGAAAGTTATTGTTGTTTTTCAAGCATTTATTAGCGAGTGGGAAACTTCAACATGGTCGCCATCTATTCAAATGGGAGTAACCGCTGGAATATTCTTGGCTTCAATTTTACTAAAAGCGATGCGCTATCTAGTCTATATAAGATATCTACGGTTTCAGGTAGCCCTATATCAACGAAAGCTTGATAAGAGTCTTATATATGGCTGGGTAAATAAGAATAACAAAGTTATAATATAAATTATGCATTGGGAATTATTGATATTATTATTTGTTAGTTTTATAACATATATAGAGGACGTGTTACACTATTTGCAACATGCAATGCATTTCCATGTCTGAGTGAGGGTCTTCTATAATGCCGCAGTTTTATTGAAAAACGTAATGCCAGTGCAGGTATTAAAGCAGTAGGAGACTCTTAAATTTGCTCAGAGATATTTATTTCTATATATAAAAGTAATATTTTACCTTGTATTAGACGAAGACGTTTGTTGTCGGGACAAAATCACCCAAAATTGTTAGTGAACTATACTCCTTTCTGAAAACCCTGTCTCGTTTCTTTTAGTTACTTGTACGAACTAAAGAGTCGAATGCGGAGTTGTTTATAACCAACCAACTTCTCTTTTATAACCATTCGTCTGAAAGAGCTCGACAAACCTCCTTAAGAAACTCAAGTGTGTTTTCGATATTTTCGTCCGTATTCTAAAAGCTCACTCACACTCAATGAGTGGAGGTTCAATCTGAGCTTCTCTTGAGTGTCAATGCTGTTTTTGAATAGCTGGAGGGTGAATAGGCCTAGCCGTCCAGCTATTCAAAAACAGCAATGACACTCGAGAGAAGCTCACATTGAACTAAGTGAGCTTTTACAATACTAGCCTGCGAGCAGGCTCTCTGGGCCTGCTCGCAGGCTATGGGCCTGCTCGCAGGCTATTACAATACGGGCGTTAGTGTTTTAATATTTTGCGTGGTCATTAAAATTTATATTTCGTCGTTGAAAAAATGGTCAAACTGGTTTGAAGTCACCTCGCTAATTAAACTAAAAAATATTTCGGACCGGTCCGGCTAAAATTTGTAACAACGCTAATATACGATTAACAACATTGTGCGAATGAGGCATTAATGTGGGCATGGATAATAAAATAAATGGACAGGAAACTAGCTGACGTGACCTAATGTTTTCAATGGGATGATGGCGTGTTGGATGTTGAAACCTAGTTGCAAACCAAATTCTCAAAAACGGCATGTTTAGCAATAATACAGCTAAACATTTTAGTCAAAGACCAAATAAATATCACTACGCCATTCTACGATGAAATCTCCAAGTATTTCCAGTCAATTTTAGCAAATATTTCAAGCAGTAAACAGTGAAAAATGCATCCCAAATTTCGTTAAAATTGGTTACGCCAATTTCGTAGCTACAAATGTAAAAGAATACAAAATAAAGTCGAAAAACATTTACCTTGAATACTTTGTTGTGGCTTAGGCATGTTTTTAAAACAATTAGACCAGATTGCAACCAGGTTTAGACTGTGACGTCAGCTAGAGTCCTATCCATTTATTTTATTATCCATGATGTGGGGAGAGCAATCCTTGAAAGTCTTGACTGATAAACTATATTTGTTCATATTCTTTTTTCTGTTTCTTCAATCTTGTAGAAACGAGTGATTTTGCAGCGGCCTGTGGTCGGGCTCGCGCTTTTGCTGATTTCGCATCCCGACCCAAGTTCGAGATGGGCAGTTCGACGTCACCAGAACCCAGTCCTAGCGCGCTCGATGTGGATAGATTTGACTTTCCTGTCGCGCAGAAAGATTCTGATGCAGATAAACATCGGTTTGAAAGTGGAGGGAGTTTTTATGAAGACGAAGTTTTGAAAACTGCCAAGAAAGATATTGCGGCTTTTCTTGGGTTAGAGGTACGGTCCATTTACTATATTGAAATTCTTGGTTTTCAATCACGTGAGATTGTAGCATAATTTGGCTCAAGTGGGAGTCAGTCATTGAACTGAGGTCATAAAAAAGTGACCCTTTAGACTTTACAAATTGTAGCATAATTTGGCTCAAGTGGGAGTCAGTCATTGAACAGAGGTATAAAAAAGTGACCCTTTAGACTTTACAAATTGTAGCATATTTTGGCTCAAGTGGGAGTCAGTCATTGAACAGGGGTATAAAAAAGTGACCCTTTAGACTTTACAAATTGTAGCATATTTTGGCTCAAGTGGGAGTCAGTCATTGAACAGATGTATAAAAAAGTGACCCTTTAGACTTTACAAATTGTAGCATATTTTGGCTCAAGTGGGAGTCATGCAGTCATTGAACAGGGGTAAGTGACCCTTTAGACTTTACAAATTGTAGCATATTTTGGCTCAAGTGTGAGTCAGTCATTTGCAGCTTGAGATGCAGATGGAGAACATGCAAGTACGTGCGCAGAAAGAGTTGGTTTTGCTTCATCGTGCATTACATAAGAACAGAATAACCAGAACTGTAGAGTGGTTGAATGCCAGAGGCTGGATCTCTGCACATCATCATGTAAGGGTTTCAAATTTGTCTTGGGTTTTCTATTTGTTTGTTTGTTTGTTTGTTTGTTTGTTTGTTTGTTTGTTTGTTTGTTTGTTTGTTTGTTTGTTTGTTTGTTTGTTTGTTTGTTTGTTTGTTTGGTTTGTTTGTTTGTTTGTTTGTTTGGTTTGTTTGTTTGTTTGTTTGTTTGTTTGTTTGTTTGTTTGTTTGTCTGTCTGTCTGTCTGTCTGTCTGTCTGTCTGTCTGTCTGTCTGTCTGTCTGTCTTGTCTGTCTGTCTGTTTGTAAGTCTATCTGTCTATCTGTCTGTCTGTCTGTCTGTCTGTCTGTCTGTCTGTCTGTCTGTCTGTCTGTCTGTCTGTCTGTCTGTCTGTCTGTCTGTCTGTCTGTCTGTCTGTCTGTCTGTCTGTCTGTCTGTCTGTCTGTCTGTCTGTTTGTCTGTTTGTCTGTTTGTCTGTTTGTCTGTTTGTCTGTTTGTCTGTTTGTTTGTTTGTTTGTTTGTTTGTTTGTTTGTTTGTTTGTTTGTTTGTTTGTTTGTTTGTTTGTTTTGGTTTGTCATTGTCACTACTTGGTCATTACTTGTTATTCAGCCTGCTTTAAAGTATCTGTTGTCTGCCAGCTTGCAATTTGTTTCTTTGTAACATTCGCTTACATTTTCGTCACTAGATTCGCTGTCCAAAAAAAGTTTTGAGCAGAAAATCGTTGGTAGAAAAGGTAGATATACTCCATTGTTCAAAGAAGTCCATGCTTTGTTAAAGCACACTACCAATTATTAACTACAAACTATAGTAAAAAAGTCGCAGTAAAAAGATTTTATACAACTAACCTACAATGGGCAAAATTGTAACCAAACTATTTTTTGTTTTTATTTAGTATCTTCATAATCCTGATAATTACGAAATTCCAGCTCGGTAAGCATCAGTCGAATCCTGCCTATACTCCCAGAACAGGGGTGTTGAATTTTGGAAAAATTTTAGTCGCTTAAAGGATTAGTGTCAGGGTCATGCATTGCGGGCTTTTGTTATTGTTTACATTTTACTCAAATACAACAAATAGCTATAAAAATACCTTGTTTGGCACATTTCTGATAAAAATCAGACAAAAAGAGCAAGGATTATGAAAGGATGGTTTAAATATATATGTCGGATTGTAAAAACTTTCCAGATCATCTAATCTATTCGTCCCGAAAAATGGCCGCCAGCAGGAGTTTGAGCCCGCGAATTCCTGGTGTGACACTAATCCTTTAAGTGGCTACCAGCGGATAAAATCTCATTACCAAATTTAATATCAGGTCTCCATAAATCAATGCGTTACGAAGTATTTTCATTGTATTTAGATAAAATGAGAAAACAGTAATAATGCTGAGTTGGGCCTGGGGCCAGTTGTATCATTCAAGCCCGTTTTAAATTAGCTTAAATTAACGGTGGATAAGTCAAAATTAAACATCACTCTTATATCTCTCGTGAATCAGTCAACTTAAATATTGTGCACTGAATATGTAGTTGTAAACATTATCGTTCTATTAAGGTTCAAAACTTTTTGTTTGGTTGTTGAATGAATCTATAAAGGCTTGCTTTCTATTCTGAGCATAACCACCGTTTAAGCTAAACGGGCTAGATACAACCGGCCCCTGTACTCTTTTAATTTCTATGCTAACATCAATTTTTTATGGACTCAATGATAATGGTCAATTTGATTTATTTTCAAGTCATTCAGATTTCGCAAGGCTTGCTCGGCGTTTAACTGGGACTTCGATAGGACTTGTTCTCGGAGGGGGCGGTGCAAGGTAGGAGGACATTATTACTTACAAAGGAAACGTTTCCATTTCAAAATAGTGATCCTACTCACACAAACTCATGACGAGTGTTTAGCCATTGCATGGAATTGATGATGAATACCACTGAAAAAATTAGTGGGTATACTGAGCGTTGTGTAGCTACTAGTTAGCCTTGCAACTGGTCATGGTACAGTATATGCTAATAAACGTGCATCTAAGGTCCCGTTTACATGAGACCGGAACGAAGTCAAACCTGGACCATTTTGTTTCGGTCATAGTATTATTTATAATAGATGTTTACATGAGACCGAGACGAAAATAACTCGGAAGTCGGACCGGTCTCTAGTCAGAATGCCTGCTAGACCGAGCCGACTGACTTCAGACCGGCATGTATTTAGATCGACTGGGATGAATGTAAACACAAATTCATTTCAGACCGGTCTCGGCTGTAACCTTGACATTGGAACAACACATGCTAACAAAAGCCATGTAAAAGAAGAAAATTGCCTAGCAAGGGAATAAGTTGAAAATTTTCTGATTTTCGTACCGGTCTCATGTAAACATGTTAACAATTTCAATTTTCATTTCGGTTTGACTTCGTCCTGGTCTCGTGTAAACGGGGCCTGAATAGGCTGAACACAATACATTTCTAAAGTTTGAATAATGCAAATCATTAAGCATGAACTGTGATGGTGGCTAGCTTTGCCACTGGTGCTAACAGTGTGACCATATTCATTCGAACAACTCCGTAACGAACGCGACCTTCTTCAAAGTTAGCCTTCAAAAAGTGGGGAAGTTATTACAATTCGTGTTTCTTGCATCGTAAATTTATTGCATTGATCGTAAATTTTATTTTTTCCAGAGGGATATCTCACGTGGGAATAATACAAGCTCTTCATGATGCGGGTACGTTTTTGTTTTGTTTTGCTATCTTGTATAGTCTCTGTAAACTGAAAAATATAGGTAAGACCATGTAAACTGACAAATATAGATAAGATTTGGCCGTTGTCTGTTCAGTTACAAACTACGGCAAAATCTTATCTATTTGTTTTATATAATAAAAAGAAAACCACCGAATTAAACTGGTAAATAGCTTACACGATCTATACAATAAGGGAACGCTATTGAATAAGGTTTTGTGTGACGTGATTCCGCACGCGTCTGTCCTCTAATAGATCATGGCTCTTCACCAATGAAAGCGCTTGAATTCTTAACGTTATAATATAAAGCCGCTTACTTGCTATTTTTATGATTTCTAGATATTCCAATTGATATGGTAGCGGGCACAAGTATTGGCGCATTTGTCGGTGCAGTTTATGCAATCGAGGCAGATCCTGAGAAAACAGTGGCGAAATGTAAAGAATGGTCAATGGTAAAGATTTTAGATTATTCAAATTGATCTTAATTACAATAAACATGGAGATAGCATACCAGGCTAAGAATTGGTTATATAACACATCTGATAATCTATTTTAGGGCATGACGTCAACTTTCAAAATGTTACTTGAGCTGATGTATCCATTCACTTCATTTTTCTCAGGTTTGTTTATTGCCCACGCCAGGAGTCTTATTTTGAACTCTGTTTGTTTTTGTTGGGTGTTTTGTTTGTTTGTTTGTTTGTTTGTTTGTTTGTTTGTTTGTTTGTTTGTTTGTTTGTTTGTTTGTTTGTTTGTTTGTTTGTTTGTTTGTTTGTTTGTTTGTTTGTTTGTTTGTTTGTTTGTTTGTTTATATTAAATAATTTTAAAAATTAAGATATGACAGTTCAATGAGAGTCTCCGTGCCACAAAATGCAACTTTTTAGTATTATAGTTGTTTGTATAATGGTAAATTGACAGTTACAACTTTTAAAAGTCGCTTTTCACGTTTGAATTGTCTGGAATATTTCACGAGGACAGACAGTGCGCCAAACATTGCGGATTTTGACCTATTGTATTGTATATATTGTATTGAAATTAAAATTCTATTTCCCAAAAGGGCTCTTCAACACTCAATTATAATAATGCTAGAATTGTGACCTGCATGTTACGATGTGTATATGCATGATAAAAGTTTTCTATTCTAGGTTCTAATAGGTAAAATTTAGAATGTATTAAAATAATTTAAATATACTGTTTTAAAACTTTCTTAATAGCTGTTCTTTTAGCTAATACATAGTGATAACTGTTCCGTTTAGGCAATGGTTTTAATGCGAGCATCAGAAGTGTTTTTGGTGAAAAACAAATTGAGGTACAATCAAACTAAATTTAATTCATTATGATCAAAAACAGTTCAAGTACTCTTGATTGCATTTATTCTTGTGTTTATACGAAGAAGTAAATAACATCAGCCCTTTAAGTGGCAATGCGCCCTACTTTATTATTTGAGAGTGCTGCCACTCAATGGGTTAAAATTTCTTTCTCCAATTTTCAGGACCTACTTGTACCATATTTTAATATAACCACAGATATTACATCATCATGTATGCGTGTACATTCAAACGGTAAGTGAAATTGTTGGAGAATTTTATATACCGGCACTTGTTTCCACTTCGTTCATTATTTGAATACAAGAATTGTATAAAATATATAAACTGTAATCAATTCTATACATTGTAATCACATAGCAATTACAAGTAATTATATAATAATAATATAATAATAATAACTTGATTTATCATCATCGTGGATTAATTTCAAAAATTATAAAAATTAAAAGAATTAAACTAAATCAAAAATTAAACTCAATCACACTGTACGCAATCACCAATCCGTATCGAAAATATGATTGATCATATCGACATACCATGCGATCATGTACCATCATGCGATATTGTCCCTATTTACAGGTAGTTTATGGCGTTATGTTCGTGCGAGTATGTCCTTAGCGGGTTATATGCCACCCCTATGCGATCCCATAGATGGTCACATGTTACTGGATGGTGGATATTGTAATAACCTTCCAGGTAATAATGCGATGTTATTGTTGTGTAGGCAGTTTATGGCGTTACGTCAGAGGTAGCATGTCCATTTCCGGCGTCTTTCCGCCCTTGTGTGACCCCAGTGATGGCCATCTCCTTGTCGATGGCGCGTACGTCAATAACCTCCCAGGTAATATGCCCTTTTTCGCAAATGTAGCCAGCGAGCTCTATATGTATACTTGGAACGAGAACTCATTCGGCCTATGAGGAAAGTGAATCTAAGATGGCAGGAATTGACGTCCAATAGCTCTGAAGGTCGTGAACAGTTTTAATACTATTTTTCGCAGCTAATAGACCTTATCCATAATGACGTCACAAGGCTTGATGGCCACGAGGAATGTTGGTCTTAGTAGTCATCGCCTGGGAAAAATTCGGGTAATCGTTCCATGTTTCGCGCACCAATATAGTAAACGTTATGTAATGGATATTATAGTGTACTGAAAAGTTAACTGGATACCTCCATACACGTATATACACACCCTAACCTTAAACCTAACCCCTAACCTAACCCCTAAACTAACCCCTAACCTATATTGGTGCGCGAAACATGGAACGATAACCAAAAATCGATAGTGGCCATTTTGAATTGCTTAATTTTCCCGGGCGAGGACTACTAAGACCAGCATTGCTCGCGGGCATCAAGCCTTGTGACGTCATTATGCATAAGGTCTACTAAGCAAGTTATCATATAAAACCATAGTGTTATTCTTTAAATCGAAGTCAAAATACGAAATTTCTGCCCACTCGTTGCCAGCTTCGTGTAAACCGCGCAGACAAAAGCAATAGAAAGGGACTGGAACTGACGTCCAATAGCTCTTCAATTTCCGCCATCTTGGCATCACTCCAGGTATATATGGAGCTCACTGGACGTAGCTTGCACCCCACTGATCTCAAGATTATGACTGGATAGAGCGTCGTTCTAACTTCAATGAGCCATTTTTGAGGCTAGAACATTTATAGCAAAATATATTTTGGAATCTTTCAAGTTGCTTACTCCTTAATGATGTTTAAATTGGAGTCGAGCAAAATGTCTTTTCGTATGAAACGTGAAAGATATCTTTTACCAAATCGCCGTTAATTATTCTGTGCTCAGTAACAAATGCACCATCCAGTTCTAGAGATGAGATCAGTGTTGCACTCGCACCAAGTATACATTAGCATTCTGCTTTCATCTGCACTGGAATAAATTGTTCGTACAGATATAACGCTAACACGATCTTTGATATGTAAAGGTTGTTTGGTAAGGGACCTTGCAGCGCAGTTAGAATAAAAGCTACCTTAAAGGCCGATTTGGACTGCACAACTTTTGCCTAAAACTGTCGCATGCAACCTGCTTACAACTTGAGTTGTACTGTGTAAATACAGTAAATCAAGCACACGTAAGTGAGTTGCGACAACGTAAGTGAGTTGTGTGCTTGATTTACATTCATACAACTCAAGTTGTAGGCAGGTTGCATGCGACAGTTTTAGGCATAAATTGTGTAGTGTAAATTTACCTTTACGCTGAAAAGACGACACAGCCATTAAAAGAATAAATTCATATAGTATTTAACAACCACGCTGCGCCTTTCCCCTTTCATCCCTATTTATCACCTATAATTTTCCCCTAGCCCGCGACTATTCCGCCTGCAAACTTCGAAAAAATCTAAAACAAAACACAAAGCCTCTGCGGAGGAGAGTGTAGTATTTTAGAAAAAATTGGAGTAATTAAATTTTCATCGGAGTCTTCGACAACCTCCCCCCCCCCCCTGCATTTGAAACTGCCAGAAGTGGTATTCTGCAAATTGACTCAGTACTGAAGTAGCAATCTTCCCAAACATATAAGCCCTGATTTAACCTCATCAAATTGTATTAAAATCATGATTTATAATACATGACAAGTTTGACAAGTTTTCTTTATAATTATTTATCCGAATGAGTTTCTTTAAGTCCGTCTTGTCGTGTTGCCGATCACTACAAAGGCCTGATTTCGGGAGCGCTTTTTCTCGTCGAAAAATTTTGTAAGGACAAAGATAAATTAGTGAGTCGAAGCCTGTTGTATACTTGAAAGTGCGATGTTTGGGGAAATTTGATAGAATCACTCGTGTCCAACAATGCGTATTTCGCAGATACAATTTCTTCCGAAGAATTTCGCTGTCGTGGAATTAGTCCCTAAAACGTTGTACAAAGAACATCAGAACCATGTCATGTACTTCAAAGAACGTTTTATAATTACTTGTTTTTCATTCGCATTAAGTCATGACAATTTATAATTGTATCCATAAACTTATGTTAGCGGCCCTTTGTATAAGAAATGCAAACATGCAGCGCATATATATCGATACAACACGAACACAAATGTAATGTTACTATTCTTCAATAATGTTACATGAAAGTTAATTGGTGTGAAAAAAACTTTGGGTTGATGTAAATCAGCACGTAGGAAGTACAAAAATAAAATGATGTTGCAGCGTTATTTTTTAAACAAAATTAGATGTCTAGACGGAGATTTGTATGCAAATCGTGAAAATTCCAATCCCAGCTGACCTGTCGTATAGCAAAACTAGAATCTTATCGTGACTCACAACGCTTCTTTGGAATTCGTAGCCGAGGCTATGACTTGTCGTATTTGAGACTAATAATGATTTTAAAAAAATTCAAAATTGAAATGTCGTGGTGTTACTATTGAGAGGGGGGAGGAATTCTTTTCGTTTTCTTGGAATTTTGACTATTTTTTTTGTAGTATCATGTGACACAAAGTCAAGTGAAATTATACTTCGCTATCAGCCGTGACGATTTAAAAGTGAAAGCGATAAAACGTAGTTAAAACATGGATATAAGCGAGTTCATATTAGAAATTGGCAAAAATATTAAACTAATAAGTCAAGCCGAGCTACATTTCCCTCAAGAATGCACGGTTCCGGAAGAAGAATGGATTGCAGGATTTGTAGAAAGCCCGGAGCAAGAAACTATGTTGTTGCAGACTGGTATACACCTTCGCACGGCAGAACAAACACAGAATAAAGATGTCGTGAAACTTAAGCGATTCAACCCATTTCTCTGGGACAGAGAACCTAAATGTATTCCTGGGTGTGTGGCTGGATGTGCGAAAAGAAGGCGTAGCCTTTCGTCTGACGAAGTCAGAACCAAACCAGATTTGTTTCTGTGCAAAACTCACCATGCAAATTTGACGGATCTTGTATCGAAGCACTGCGAAAATGTCGCAAGCTTCGAGAAGGACAAATTGAAAGGGTATACGAGCCTGATTGGGGTACTTGAAAAAGCCTTTATGCATCTTAAGTCAAATTGGTTGTTCAGATTAACGACTATCAAATACTTACTCGCTGAGGTTTTCTTAAATACTCGGAATTTTCTCATCATTACAAGTGCGTTGATGAGTCCCGACGAAGATAATACAACAATCGCCTTGCGTCAGTGTCTGACGATGTTTAATAGATGTTTGGAGAATGCAGAATCACTGCCACGTATGCTTACTGTATTACAAAAAGTCATGACTATGCTTCTGCAATTTTTCGGTGTAGAGTATAAGTGGATCATATTGGAAAGAAGAACCCTTCTGAGAAAAGGATGCTTTGTAGGAGGTGGTATTAGTATTGTTCTTGGTATTGTAGGTATTGCAGTTACTGCAAAGAGTAGAAAGGAATTAGTTGATCGGAAGATGATACTTTCCAGTTTGTTGGTGGTCGCTGGAATTGGCAGTATTTTATGGGGGAAAACAATGTGTATGCGAGAGCTGAGGCAATCGGAGGCTGAACGTTGTTTTCCTATTTTGTATCGCGCACACGCCGATGGCTATGGTGCCCTTACGCTATGTTACCATAATGTATCGTTATGAATTGAATAACTGACATTTAAACGCACTACTGTAATTGTTACCTAGCTATGTTTCCACAAAGGTGGGCAAACCAGAAAACATTGAACAGATTTTCACATTTAGTAATAGCTTGGCAGAAGATAATCTTCTTAATTTTCTATTAAATTTTATATATTTTTTTATGTAGTTTCTTTTTTCTTTCTCAATCGCAAATTTGTGGGCAGGCTGGGGGGACTTATCTCTTAACAATTTTTAGACTCCAAAGGGAGAGGTATACTAAATGGCGAATAGTTATAATTTTTCTTTGCGTAGCGTAAAAGTTGGTGGTGGTTTGGATTTTGAAACATTGAGGTTTCTGTGAAATCTTCAGAATACTTTTGTAAGCGATTTTTGATGGGCTTATACAAGGGAGGGGGCTTATGTACGGGCGGGCTAATACATGGACGTTTGTGTTAGTAATAAACAAGTCAGATATAAACAAGTCAGTCATAAACAGGAAAATAAACATGTATTAATAACACGCTTTAATTCACATAGCTATAAAGACGATGTCAATGTTTTTAAATATCATTCTCTGCTATATTAAAAGACAATGTAAATGTTGAATAACGTAGTGGGCTACTGGGCTTATATACGAGGGACTTATATTTGGGGGCTTATATTCGGGTGGGCTTATATCCGGGGGGGCTTGTATTCGGGGGAGCTTATAGTCATAGGTTTACGGTACTACGATACAGCCCCTCTCCCCTTATCAAAGATATCTTGACAGGTATTGGTGTTACAGTGGTCAGTGTATGTACCGTTCACTTATCTGAGTAAAGGTTGCATTCCTGCATAATTGACCTTTCCGGTAATTACGTCACAGCTACATTATTCAACTTAAGGACCACCTTAAATGGAATGGATTTCAAGTTTTTTCTCACTGGCTATGCGCAAGAAGCAGAACATCCTCATTCAACACATGCCTAAATGTTTTGTTTTTTTATTTTGACCCATAAATGTGAGACTATGCTTTAACACGAAAACAAGGCTAAGGGACCATGGCCCCTTTGGGGCCCTTAGCCTCGTTTTCGTGTTAAAGCTTATTCCCTCATTTATTGGTCAAAATAATAATTATACATCAGGTATTATGCTTATATTATGACTTGGCCATATTGAATAGTTTTATTACGAGTTTAAAAGGAGAATCTTTTCTATGTTACGTAACACGCGCTCAAAACTAATGTTAATGACTCAAGTTGTTGATTTTTCCTCCACTTTCTTGACAAACACAATATTAAACACGATTATTTATTTTTGTGGGAGAGGGGTTCGGGGTTGTGAAGAGTCCATTTACAGTATATGACAAGCATCATGCCTACTCATATGTCACACCCTATTAGCTGCACTGATTCTGAACTGGCACTGATAATCTGACCAAGATTCACTTGGACAGTCCTAACCTGACCAACTGGAGCACGAAACCCCAGTATGGACAGTCCTTACCCTGACCAATCGGAGCGCAAAACCCCTATGGACAGTCCTTAACCTGACCAAAGGCACAAAACCCATATGGCCAGTCCTTAACCTGAACATGGGGGGTAAACCCCCATGGACAGTCCTTAAATTTAGATATATTATGTGTGACATATATTGAGTCTATGGGCCTGAAGTTGACATTTTATGGAGACTTCATCCCCACAAATACACAGAATGTGTATTCCCCATAGACGAACCCGCCCCCCGAAACGTTGTTAGTTATTTAGCGGTTACCACATTTGTCAAAGTGGCTGATACCCCAGATAGAGTTGCAAGATAGCTGCTGCCAGATGACAGTTAGACATATATTTGAGCGTTACCATCACTCATACTATAGCTGGATAATCAGGGAGGCCAGAAAAAACCTGGAATATACAGGAAACCTGGATGGGGCCAAGACAACCAGCAGCTTCCCCACAAAGCTTCTATCTTACAATTTCTTAATTGGAGGGTTGGTAACACGACAAACAAAGCTCACCATCAAGGCACATAATTATTTCTTTTATTTATTTATTTTTTTTTTTTATGTAAATGTGTTCATTAAGACGTTTATATATCTGGAGCGAGAACTTCAGTCATATTCTGCCTATGAGAAAAGTGAAGCCAAAGTGGCGGAATAAATTCAATTGACGTCCAATAGCTCTGAAGGTTGCAAACAGTTTTAATATCATTTTCCCCAGCTAATTCCAGTTCTTTCTTATACGGACAGTTTCGCTAAACAAGTTATCAGTTCATAAAACCATATAGTGTTGTTCTTTAAATCGATGTCAAAATACGAAATTGCTAGCTACGTTTTAACCACGCAGACGAAAACAATAGGAAGGGACTGGAACTGACGATCACTCCAGGTGATAAGAGTGCATGAGAGTTTGCAGTCACGCGACATTGCGTGGCTGTTCTTGATGTTTTCCCAACACTATCATGTATTCTATTTAAGTTAAAACATTAGTTGCAACAATCATCAAACCTTTATTTTGATAATCTAGAGCTTGAAATGTCCCCTGCATGTAACTGCGTGACTGCCAACTTATCAACGATCAAATATCATTTAACGCTTATCCGGGTTTTTACTATATATGTAAAAAAAAATTCAATGTTTCTAGCAATGCTTGCTGGTTTCCAAGTGTCAACTTGTAAAAGTCAGTTCGTTTATGTAACTTTACTATACTGGCATACTTCTTCGCGGTGATTCTAGTACAACGTCACCACGGTCGTTGACAGACACGTGATAAAGATATTCGTTGAGCATTTTTTCTCTGATTCGTCGATTTTCTTGAATTTGCATGTTCTGTCTATACAACTCAACAGCACTACTTCCAATCATAAGGCCACCGACAAGGCCCACCAGTGCAGTGACGAGAATATATACGGGGTGTAAATCAGTGAATAACAAGCTTCCCACATAACCAAGCATAAAACCGCTACCACCTCCCAGTCCCGCGCCAGGGTTTGTCAGGTTGACCCATTTACAGATCACACCGAAAGCTGGCAGTACTATATTCATGATCTCTTGTCTCATTATCTTCGTCGGGGTTGAGTAACGCATTTGTGATGATCAGGAAATTTCGACTATTTAAGAAAACCTCGGCGAGAAGGGAATAGGAGTTTTTAAACCATTTTGAGTTAAGATACACGAAAGTTTTTTCGAGCTCGCCAATCAATCTTGTATAACCGTTGAAATAGTCATTCTTGAAGCTTGCGTCATCTAGAATCACATGTTCTTGTGCACAGCGCCACGAGACACGATCCTTCAGCGTTTTAAGGTGGGTTTTGCAAAGAAACAAATCTTGTTTGATTTTGTTTTGATCTTTGTCTTGCGAATGAACAAGATTATTTGTTGTTTCCGGACACGCAGGCACACGGCAAGGAATCGCAGGATATGCTACGTACAGATAGGACGGGTTGAGTCGTTTAAGTACCACGGTCTTCATACTCTTTGTCTCTTCTGCCGTGCGGAGCTGTATACGTTTGTTCTCTTGCATCACCTTCATCTCGCTTTCTGTTATCCATTTCTCTTTCACAATCGTGCTTTCGTGAGGAAAGTTTAGTTTGGCACCGCTAGTTCGTTCAATTTCTTTGCCAATCTCTTCTATCAACTCGCTTTGGTTATGCTGCTCCTCATTTTCTCCGCGTCTGATGCTTCTCTGTGCCTGTGCCCGAAACTGTTTCTGCTTCTCCATATTTGTTTGTGTCTGATGCTTCTCTGTGGCTGAGATTGGCAGGTGTGAAATGATATGTGGTGTGAAAAATATACTTGTGGTTTATGTAAATCAGCGTGCAAGATTTTCTATGAAATGAAATGATATTAAAGCGTTATTTTTTAAAAAAAATTTGTATGCAAATCTTGAAAATTCCAGTCGCAGCAGCTGATTTTGAAAATTCTAGTCGCAGCTGCATGCATGTTATATAACTGAACTAAAATGTTGTCCCGACACGGAACGCGTCAATTGAATATACAGTCAAAGTTATATATGACTTGTCGTAGTTGAGACTAACTATGATTTAAGAAGATTTCAAAATCTCAGATCAAAAGAGTAAAATATGAAACGTCGACACAAATGTTGTGATTTTACTAGGTAGGTTGCTATGACCATTTTTGTGTCATGTGGCAAAATTTCAATTGAAATTACACTAAGCCATATACGCGTGATCTGTTAACACTGCAAGCGATAAAACGTGGTTAAAGCATGGATATAAGCGATTCCATACTAGGTATTGGCGAAAAAATTGAACTACTAAGTGATGCTGAGCTAAACTTCCCTCAAGAAACCACGGTTCCGATAGAGGAATGGATCGCAGAAAACCTGAGGATAAAGACGCTGGGAGGTATACCACTCCGCACGGCGGAACAGACACGGCAATCGTCGTGGATCGGTTTCTGACTCCTCTTGTATGGTTTTTGGAGAATCCAAGTAAGCTGAGATATTTTCTTATATTTTTTATGACATCCGTATTCCTTTTTTGTGGAATTATCTATCCATGGGTCCAAGCCCACCTGGAAACTCCCGGCGCGAAAATTGGACTTGGCGTGGGTATGATGCTTCCTCTTCTGGTTGCTCTTCGGCAGAGTGCTCGAGAATCGGACGTTCGAGTTTGGACGCTTGTTCCACTTTGTTCGGTTTGTTCCTTCGCAGGGTCTTTGATAGGCAGTGGCGTTTACGAATGGAATGAAGACCCTCGCTTCATAGAACGAAGGCGGCAACAGACTTTTGAAAATCAATATAGAATTCTAAAACTATTTCTTCACTTCATATATTATTTTTTCGGCAATCTTTCCCTAAAAACCAAACAGAACAAGTAGAACACTGGTGTTAAACTATCCTGTTGATGCATTAAAAACTTAATGACACTTCCGCACAGATTTCATAAATAATAATAGCGAGTCAGTATATTTCTTTGTCTTAGAGATCTGCAGTTCCTTTAATATAAATTGTCTTGAGCTTACTTTAGTTCTAGTGTTCTTCAATTTCAAACATTCTTGACATTTACAGTCACAGCGTTGCAATGAAAATCGAACCTCCAGTCCTGCGGTTAGAGTTCGACAGAGCTCGAGTTGGTTAGAGCGCTGCATCAGAATCGCAGGGCCGCATGTTCAATTTCTGAGGTTCTATAGTTTCATTTTTCGCAACTACTCCATTTCACCGATCTCTAGGGCTTATAGCAAAAATTGTTCCACAGTTGAATTTAGCAAAAGTGGAGCCACAATTGTGGCTAACAATATCTGTTCGGGTACAACAACCACATACAGCGCAAAAATTGACCATTTTAATACAAAATTATTATAAAGTTTTGCAAAATTTGCTTTATTTACAAAAGTCATGCATCAATGGATGCATCATCACCGGCGCTGTGACGTCATGTGCAATGGGTCTATTGCCCATGTGGTCTGACCACGTGATCTGATCATGTGATCAAACTGACCAAAAACGTAATGGCAAAAACGTAACTAATAGATGTGCTAAATGAAGTTTCTACACTCGCGAAATATAATTTTAGAATGTACTGTACGACCTCGAGAAAAAATCAGGATTTCGTATAGTAATGAAATGGTCAACGCATTTCGTATGCAAATTTTGATCATTCCAATCGCAGCTGCATGCCGTGTGACTGAACTAAAATTTTATCCCATTCCCATGATTTGAAACGAACTATTTGAGATTAACTTGAATTTGAGAAACTTTCAGCTCAAAAAAGTAAGAGATAACATAATAGCCAAATAGGTATAATAGCCAAAGCCAAAGGTATAAAGAGCATGAAGGGAAATTCTCATTGTTTTCTTGGAATTTAAATATTCTAATATCACTCAAACAGGAAGAGAGCTTTCATACTTATATTTATAACGAGAAGGCTAGGCAAATACAGCTCGAAAAAGCAGTGACAACATGGCGCTAAGTAAGTTTATACTGGATATTGGCAAAGAAATCGAAGTTAAGAGTGGTGCAGAGATAAATTTCACTCAAGGAACCACACGTCCTGGTCAGAAATAGATCACAGAAGGCCAGTTGTCTAAAATGAAAGCTGTACAGCTTCGCACGACTGAACAGACAAAGAATGAAAATGCCGTCAATCTTCAACAATTCAATCCAAGTTTGCTCCTAAAAGGGTCCTGCGACATTCACTGCCGAATCCCTGGATGTTCGGTCACAACACGTCGACGTAAACCCACTCATTCGTCTGAGAACATCAAACAAGATCTGTTTCTGTGCGATACCCACCGTGCAAAGTTGACGAATCTTGTCTCGAAGCGTTGTGCCCAAGAAGACGTCATCGTAAACCCCGCAAGCTTCAAGTATGAAGATTTCAACGGCTATACGAGTTTGATTGGCGAACTTGAAAAAGCATTTATGTATTTTCAGAAGAAAACGTCCCCTCTAAGTGCAAGTGATTCCTTGCTTGCAGAGGTTTTCTTAAATACTCGGAATTTCCTCATCATTACAAATGCGTTGCTCAACCCCGACGAAGATTGTCCTGGCGCCGTGTATGACAATGTTTCAGAGATTCCTAAGTTATTTGAATGATCCCAATTTACTGCAAAGTATGCTTACAACATTACGACAAGTCATGAATATGGTCCTGCTATTTTTTGGTGTGATCTATAGTTGGGTCTTCCTGGCAAACCCTGGCGGCCGAGTGGGCGGTGGTGTTGGTCTTTTGCTTGCTTTTGCCGGGGGAGTAGCTTATGCCTTTCCCCTGGCAGGTATTGTTGCCACTGCCGTGGTGGGTCTCGTCGCTGGAAATCTCATTGGCAGTGGTGGTTATGGTTGGTATAAAGACCATTGTTACATGAAAATGCAACAACAGATGATTCAGGAATATCAGAAATTTATGTTCGAGTTGTTTGGACAACCCGTAGGTCATCAGCCTAAATTGATTTGCTTGCCCGCCAATACGGATGGTGACCTTTTAATAAATCGGGAATAGACTAGTAGAACAGCACAATTGAACTTGCATTTACATGCCGACAACTTAAGAAAGCCTTTTGAATTAAGTATTTATTTTTCATGTAAATGGTTTGAGTTTTCTTTAACTTTGAAACGTGTTCACATTTATTGTAACTTTTTGCAAATGATAGCCTACTTAATTCTATAATAAAAAACAGGATTACAATTCGTGTTCGTTATTTTTTATTAAGGGGGTGTGGGGAGGGGTGTTGAGCTATCAAATCATAAGGCTATACGTCCTCGGTAATCCGTTTTGTATTATTTCAGGTAATTAGTCCATTATTCTCTATTCCGTTGTGAACGGAGAATAATACGAAAACGGATTAGTGTGGACATAGCCTAAGAGACAGGGGGCAGACTAAAGGGAGGTTATCAAATCCTAATTTTGGAGTCCAAAGCACTTTTCCAAAGTAGTAGTCCAAAATCCTTTACGTAGTTTTCTATGGTTAAGATTTTGGCCTTTGGGGGCATTGCTATTTCTCTGAAATGGCATTTTAGAGACGTTTGATTCCCCAGACTCGCCCTCAATCAAGCCTATCTTAGCAGGTGTTGGTTTCACAATGGACACTACGTCTACTCTGAATGGTCTGATTATAATATCAACCGTTAGTCGCATCTGAGAACGGTCTTTCAGGTTGGCTCTAAAGACTACAGACTTTTTTTTCTCCAGGGAGAACAGTTTAGATACGGCAAAGCTAACCAGTATGAATACAGCTATTTTAGTTTAGTTCAGTTACAGCACTTCACACAAACAAAAATGAGCATGTCCTAGCAGTAATTTGTCACTTTGTAATGGCTACGTTGCTTTTTATTTCTAGCGGATGTAATGAAGTCAAAAGGAGCGAATACTATTATTGCTGTTGACGTGGGCTCAGAATATCCAGCGGAGTTAACTAATTATGGTGATCATCTATCGGGATGGTGGTTATTATGGAAGAAATGGAATCCTTTCAGTGAAAAAATATATGTAAGTGGTGGATGTCAACTGTTGATATGGTATGGTATGGTATGATGTGTGGTATGGTATACGGCATGATGTGTGGTATGGTGTGTGGTATGCTGTATGGTATAGTATAGTGTGATATGGTGTGGTATGGTATGGTATGTTACGGTATGGTATGGTATGGCCACTAATTTATCAGTAGCTCACACTTTCTGTCAGGTGTTACCCTCAGTAAATAAAGTCGATAAAATGAACTGAAATATGGTGTGGTGTGGTATGGTACGGTGTATGATATGGTGTATGATATGGTGTATGATATGGTGTGGTATGGTATCGTATCGTATGGTGTGGTATTCTATGCTATATAATAAATTTTCTTGTACACAATATTTAATTACTTTTTGTAATCTCGCTTCTAGATTCCCAACATGGCTGAGATCCAGAGTCGTTTAGCGTACATATCGTGTATGCGACAGTTAGAAGACTTGAAAGAAAATAAATATTGTGAATATCTTAGACCTCCCATAAACAGGTAATTAACATCTAACAAACCGCATACTGTAGCAATATTTAAAACGAACTATTTTCGATCCAAATGAGCAGGAATGCAGCACCAGATTTTGGGGCTCTTCGACTTCGAAGAATATATATATATATATATATATATATATATATATATATATATATATATATATATATATATATATATATATATATATATATATATATATATATATATATATATATATATGGCCTTTAGGTCATATTGAGCGCTCTACAGGATGAGCCATGCCGCTTACGCATTGCGCACGCTCACTGCTTGCAGTTTGAGCGCTCTGGCATGGTTTTGATGTCCCACAATCGTGAGGCATCAAAGGTAACTATAAATAAGAGTTACTTTTCATTCTGCTCATCAGCACTACACTGATGAGGCCCATTAGGCCGAAACGGTACCGTCTGTAGTTAGATATCGCTCTATGGCCTTTAGGTCATATTGAGCGCTCTACAGGATGAGCCATGCCGCTTACGCATTGCGCACGCTCACTGCTTGCAGTTTGAGCGCTCTGGCATGGCTTTGATGTCCCACAATCGTGAGGCATCAAAGGTAACTATAAATAAGAGTTACTTTCATCCTGCTCATCAGCACTACACTGATGAGGCCCATTAGGCCGAAACGGTACCGTCTGTAGTTATATATATATATATATATATATATATATATATATATATATATATATATATATATATATATATATATATATATATGTATATATATATATATATATATATATATATATATATATATATATATATATATATATATATATATATATATATATATATATATATATATATATAATGTGGCTTCAGCGTTTAGGTAGACAAACTTATCATTACACTGCCACGTCCGTTGATCAAAAGTTAATTTTACCTTTGTTACTTTTCAGATATCACACGTTAGAATTTGGCAAATTTAGTGAAATTTTGGTACGTATTTTCTCGCTAACAATTTTTGGTCGTAAAACTTAGCTCCAGAAACTTTTACTTATGACAGACAGATACGAAGCTTCACAGCCATTGTTTTCATTGTAGAAAATAGGTTATGATTATGGTCAAGAAATATTTCAAGAGTGGGCAAAAAGTAAGAGGTCTGACCTGTTCCCAGATCTTGCCACCATTAGCTCTGTAAGTCGTCCTGAGGTATGGAATATTGTGTCAGTGTATGTCATTACCTCAGCCATGAGGTCATGTTTTCATCTGTGCTTGTATGTGTAGCGCGATAATATAAAAAATATCAAACGTATTAATACGAAAATTTGCGAGACTAATGGACTTTGCCCAAGGAAAAACTGATTAAATTTTGGTTAAATTTCGATGCAAATTGGTTGAGAAATTAACAAAAGTTTGTCTTGCCTTGCCCGGGCACAGTAAATTGAATGCATAGTTAGCCCATTGTATAATTTATGCGTAATGCATAACTTAATTTAATACAACAATAGAGTTGATGTTCGCGGGCACAATTATATTTTTAGCCTGACTCAGACTCATTCTGAGGAGGACCAAAAACATATTTATGCCTACGAATATCAACTGTATTACTATTATAATAACTTTAGAGGGCGATTACAGTATAAAAGATAACAAATAAACGACAAATAGTAGAATACAATTGCATTGCCGTCTTCACGCTGTATACATGCATGGTTATCTCGTTGTATTAACTATAAAATCAGTTTATATACGAAGAGAAATAAACTAAACCGTTCTCAACAGACAAAAGAGAAGAATGAAAAATAGTTTATACAATTTATGAAGATATCTTACTACCGTAAACCCTTTAGGATATCGCTTTTTCCTTCTTGGATATTACGAAAACACCTTTTTTTCCCCATTTTTATAAAAATCTCCCAGCTACTCTCTAGGAAAATTTAAGATGAAGACCCCCTCTTCCCCATTGGATATCCACACCCTTCAATAGTGGGGTGCACATATTAAATGAATGGCCCATTCTAGCTTATTTAATTTTTGAAAATAAATATATTTTCTCTTTTTGTATTTTGCTATTTTGGCGGTAAATTAAAAAAAAATGTCCCCAGCTCAACACATTTCTATTAGAATTTACAATTTCGAATTCAGCAGGCTAAAATGTATTTTACCCTGCTAATGGTGCATTTTAGCTAACAAAATTCGCAATAACGCTCGCTAAAGTCATAAGGTATGTTGTCTTCGAGTGCCCTCTGGTTGAATATGAAGTCGTTTTCGTACATTTTAGCTTCATGAAAAGCGACCAGTCAGCAACGTGAAATCGATCTCCGATTTCGCCAAGCTCGTCTCGCGCGTTGAACACCCGCACAAACCCCTTAAATTCATCACAGCCTTGCCCGAGGGTTACGAGACCTCTGACGATGAAGATGGCGGCGCGGTCAGCGAACCTCATCGCTCAGGATCACTTGGGGATCACGAGGAACTTCTAGGTGGTGGTGATGGGGGGAACTATGGGATAGGATTCTCTAGCACAGATGACGCTGACTATGAGGTTAGTATATATGAATGTTTTAGCCCATGTACCTGGCTGGGTACCAGTTATTTTTTTATAAATGTTCGCCAATATTTTTCATAGTAAGGAATGTCTCTTCGTTTAGAACTGATAGAGCTATCTAGTATAAATAAAGTTAGTTTAGTTTAGGTTTCCTTCTCTATATACAGTACGCTGGATCAATAAGAAATTATCCTTACTGGAATTCTAGAAAGACCAGTCCAAAACTGATAGAGCTGTCTAGTATAAATAAAGTTAGTTTAGTTTAGGTTTTCTTCTGTAGTAACACTGGATCAATAGGAAATGATCCTTACTGGACCTTTAGGAAGAACAGTTTAGAACTGATACAGTTATCCAGTATAAATATAGTTATTTTAGTTTAGGTTTCCTCTTCGATTCAAATAAGTATTCATTTCTTCTATCCTATCTTTTAGTCTGACGACATACACGTTCGACGAAGGACTGGCGCTAGAATGTTTCGCCTGAGCAGTTCAGAACCTCCTGAATGATGGTATTTAATAAACTACGGATATAATGAATTAATATAAAGAATATTTATATTTTGATCAAAATGTTGTAGTATTTGTAAACTGTGTGACATATATATATTTTATAATAACTTTTATAAAACTGTGAATCATTTACATATAAAACATTAATTTAATCATAGAAAGCGCTGAAACGTTAAAATGAAAGCTGAGATTTGCTTATTTTTTCACTGGGAAAATGGGATGTGCACCATTGAGGTTGGGATTAAATTGCACCAGCAGTTTCGCTCCCGAGGTTTGGCAAATCAGTGAGTCGAGTAACTGGGATTTTGAAAAAAATTGGCCGTTGGGAAGAAGTGACTGAAACCCATGCACTCTGGTGTCACGACCATAATCATAATAAATATAAATTATTGTCAATCAGAAATCACTATAAAGTTGCATTTTTGCAACTGCTCCTGCGGTCAGGTCTAATAATATGCATATAGACAAGAGTTTTTGGCTTGAAATTTCCATCTATAGGAAACACCTTCAACAACTTTTCAAAATAGTTGAGGTTAGTCACAACAATGAGTGACTGAATGGCATGGAGAGCAGTGGGATTTTCAAAACATTGAGACAATGGAACATTCCGATCACCGTATTGTGACTAGTTGATGATGACGACGATGATGATGTCACATTCATCCATGCATGCAGAAGGAGCTAAACGTGCTTAAGTCACACACACACTAAAGCCTGCAGCACACGAGAGCTATCTGCTGAGCCAAAAGTTACTCGTGCCTGTTAGCTCAGCTGATAGCTCACCGATCAAACATGTTTGATAGGTGAGAAAAGGTTGCATGAGGCAAAAAACTCAGTAAAATGTACCCGCACACGGTGAGCTATCGGCTGAGCTAACAGGCACGAGTTACTTTTTGCTGAGCAGATAGCTCTCGTGTGCGGCAGGCTTAACACATAGTCACAGATAGTCACACTGGGTGACACATAATAACACTGGGTCACACAAAGCCACACTAGGTCACACACAGTATGACACTGGGTCACACATTGTCACACATAGTCAGTGGTCAGACATAGTAACACACATGATTCTGATCCTAAATGTGTTGAGACCGTTTTCCACTAGGGGGGATATTCTGCGCAGAGCGGAATTTCTCTTTGTCTTTTCTAATTAGTTCCACCCGAGAAATCACAAGACAAAGAAAAATTCCGCTCCGCGCGCAAAATTCCGCCTAGTGGAAAACGGCTTTTATGGGAGGTTTTTTCATTTTCAGTGCAACTAATATTTTCAGTTTTTCGATTGGGACTGTTTGACAATGAAATACTCTTGGATACTGTAATCTAAATAGATATGAAGACGAAGAAGTGGCATTTATGGGGCAGAGAAGCGGCGAGGCATATTTGACGAAATATCGAAGGAGACAATATCGAAGATAAAATACAGTGCACTGCTTCGAAACTTGGTTGAAATCTTCTTTAGCCAGCTATGCACGAAATAACTAATTTTCTAAAAACTTTAATAATAATACATTTTATTTCACTTCCCTCACCAAAACACATTTCATCCATATTTTGCCGTCTTGTTGGCATTTTAATGGCCAATTACCAAAATTCTGAACTCAACAAGTCTAGACAAAAATTTCATCACAGCTTGAAAGAGCATCACAAAATTAGTAATATTCCAAAGTTTCGTTGCAAAATGTTGTAAAATGCGGATATATAGCCTTGCGAAGTTTGCAATTTTCAGTCATTTTAGATTACAAACGGAAAATGGTTACCACTTCTGTGCGTGATACAAAATGACTGAAAATTACAAACTTCGCAAGGCTATATTATCCGCATTATTACTAATTTTGTGATTCTCTTTTATGCTATGATGGAATTTTGTCTAGACTTGAGATCAAAATTTTGGTTAATTAGGCAATGGTCCGTTGTTGTACTTTTACATAACGATAATCATTTAGAGGGCAAATTACTCGAACGTGATTGGCTAATGATGAGGGCATTTTTTCTGAATTCAGGGCAAAATTACTTGTACCTGATTGGCTGAGATGCAAGCGCAGGAAGTTTCTTGTTTAAAATGGCAATGGCTTCTCGCTTTCTCGTTGGGGAGTGGGGACAAAGATGTTACTGAAGAATTAAAAATTTCTAGTGAAAACTCGACCACTAGAAAAAGTACAAATTGATGGGTTGGAGTATTTAAGAAATGGGCAGCATTAAGGAACATCGGCGAAGACATGGAGACATACGAGGTTCAAAAACTTGACAAATGACAAGTTCACAATTTACTTAATTTATACTGCAGGCTACTTATAGTTTATTATACGACAAGTAATCGCATAGTTCCGCATAGTTTTAGAATCTTTCACGAGGGTAGACAGGACACCAAAAATGGCGGATTTTCCCTTCGTGAGATTAAAGGCTATAAATTGACAATATTTTAACATCGAGCTTGTAAGTTTCTTTCGAGTTTCGAGGGAAAGCCTGGTCGGGAAGCAAGCTGCCAAGCCAGGGTCTACTCTACCTACGCTGGGCTTGCGAGGTTGGTCAGGAGATCTCAGGAAGTTAGTGAGTTGTAATAATCCCATAGTCAGTTACAGCCACGGGTGAGCCATTTCACGCTCTTATTTTATAAATATAGGCTATATCAAAAGTGCAAATTAAACATGTATTTTATTGTTCGTTTTTAGAGTTCTTCACTTACAAGAACAAGAACCGTATAGCGTCGCGTCAAGTGAAAGAACCTCCACCAGTCCACCTGCCTTTCTGGAAGCGGATTGGAAAGAGGTAAAGTGTACTACACGCGTAAAAATTTCACATCTTGTACACAGGTAAAACTGCACAAGTTAATTGTTACAAATCTGTTCACAAGCTGTTGAGAAGTTGTGTTCGCATTGCTTGTTCTCAGTTGTTGTAACAAATTTGGAACAAGCTGTTAACAACTTGTCACAAGCTCGATGGCACTATCGGACTTGTAGCAAAGTTGTTCTAACAAATTTGATACAGTCATGATATAACAAGAATGTTACAAGGTTGACGACACAAGGTTGTAACAATATTGTTATATATCATGACTTTATCAGACATGTTGGAACAACCTTGCAACAAGTGTGATAATATTTGTTCCAAACTTGTTGACAACTTGGGACAAGCAGTGCGAGCACAACTTGTTGACAGCTTGTTTGCAGACTTGCTACAAGATGTGAGATTTTTACAACAACCTTGTTGATAATTATCGTACTTGTTGCAAGGTTGTTCCAACGAGTCCGATACAGTCATGATATAACGATATTGTCACAACCTTGTGTCGTCAACCTTGTAACATTCTTGTTATATCATGACTGTATCAGACTTGTTAGAAGAACATTGTAACAAGGCTGATAATGCCATCAAGCTTGTTACAAGTTGTTAACAGCTTGTTCCAAACTTGTTACAACAACAAAGCAGTGCGAATACAACTTGTCGACAACTTGTGAACAGATTTGTAACAACTTGTTTGCAGACCTGTTGCAACTTGTCTATTTTTACATTTGTACACACGTAAAAATCTCACATCTTGTAACAAGTCTGCCAACAAGACGTCAACATGATGTATTCGCACTGCTTGTTACAAGTTGTCAACAGGTTTGGAACAACTTGTTGACAACTTGTAACAACCTTGTCGAAATTATCAGACTTGTTGCAAGGTTGTTCTGACAAATCTGTTACATGCTTGATATAACAAGATTGTTACAACCTTGTAACATCCTTGTTATACATAGCTGTAACAAACTTGTTGGCACAGTCTTGTAACAAGACTGATAATGCCATCAAGCTTGTTACAAGTTGTATTAACAGCTTGTTCCAAACTTGTTACAACAAACTTGGAACAAGCGGTGCGAACACAACTTGTCGACAGCTTGTGAACAGACTTGTAACTTCTTGTTGCAGACTTGTGACAAGCTGTGTGTTTTTACGTGTGTACTACAGACGTAAAAATCTCACATCTTGTAACAAGTCTGCCAACAAGTTGTCAACAGGTTTGGAACAACTTGTTGACAACTTGTGTTCGCACTGCTTGTTCCCAGTTTGTTGGAACAAGTTTGGAACAAGCTGTTAACAACTTGTAACAAGCTTGATGACATTATCAGCCTTGTTACAAGACTGTGCCAACAAGTTCGTTACAGCCAAGGATGTTACAAGGCTGATAACAATCTTGTTATATCAAGCATGTAACAGACTTGTCAGAACAACCTTGCAACAACTCCGATAATATCAACAAGGTTGTTACAAGTTGTTAACAGCTTGTTTCAAACTTGTTGACAACTTGTAACAAGCAGTGCGAATACATCTTGTTGACGGCTTGTTGGCAGACTTGTTACAAGATGTGAGATTTTTACATGTGTACATGCATAGAAATCTCACATCTTGTAGCAAGTCTGTCAACAAGCCGTCAACAAGATGTGTTCGCACTGCTTGTCCCAAGTTGTCAACAAGTTTGGAACAAGCTGTTAACAACTTGTAACAACCTTGTTGATATTATTGGACTTGTTGCAGGGTTTTTCCAACAATTGTATTCAAGGATACAGTCATGGTACAACAATATTGTTACCACCTTGTGTCATTAACTTGTAACATTTTTGTTATATCAAGACTGTAGCAGACTTGTTGGAACACACTTGCAACAAGTCCGATAATATCAACAAGGTTTTTACAAGTGGTGAACAGTTTGTTCCAAACTTGTTACAACAACTGGGAACAAGCAGTGCGAACACAACTTGTCGACAGCTTGTGAACCGATTTGTAACAACTTGTTTGCAGACCTGTGACAACTTGTGTTTTTACATGTGTACGTAATAACTCTCTTGACATGTATATTACAAGTTACACACACAAAAATCTCACATCTTGTAACAAGTCTGCCAGCAAGCCGCCAACAAGATGTATTCGCGCTGCTTGTCACAAGTTGTCAACAGGTTTGGAACAACTTGTTGACAACTTGTAACAACCTTGTCCAAATTATCAGATTTGTTGCAAGGTTGTTCTGACAAGTCCGTTACATACTTGATGTAACAAGATTGTTACAACCTTGTGTTGACAACCTTGTAACATCCTTGTTATGTCATGGCTGTAACAAACTTGTTAGCACAGACTTGTAACAACTTGTTTGCAGACTTGTTACAACAAACTGGAAACAAAGCAGTGTGAACACAATTTGTTGACAGTTTGTGAACAGACTTGTAACAATTTGTTTGCAGACTTGTTACAAGCTGTGCATTTTAACGCATGTATACTACACCTGTAAGAATGCAGAAGTTGTAACAAACCTGCAGCAGACTTGTAGCAATGCTGTTCCAACAACTTTTCAACAGGATGTGTTCGCACTGCTTGTTCCCAGCTTGTTGACAAACTTGTTACAACATGTTAGATTTTTGGGTGTGCGGTCTTCATGCGACAAAATCTCGCATCTTGTAGCAAGTCTGCCAACAAGCCGTCAACAAGTTGTGTTTGCACTGCTTGTTTCAAGTTGTCAACGGATTTGGAACAAGCTGTTAACAACTTGTAACAAGCTTGATGGCATTATCAGACTTGTGGCAAGGTTGTTCTAACAAGTCCGATACAGTCATGATATAACAATATTGTTACAACCTTGTCTCATCAACTTTGTAACATTCTTGTCATATCATGACTGTATCAGACTTGTTAGAGCAACTTTTCTAGAAGTCTGATAATGCCATCAAGCTTGTTACAAGTTGTTAACAGCTTGTTCCAAACTTGTTACAACAACTGGAACAAGCAGTGCGAACATAACTTGTCAACAACTTGTTTGCAGACTTGTAACAACTTGTGCGTTTTTACGTGAGTAGTTTCGAACAAGCTGTTAACAACTTGTAGCAACCTTGTTGATATTATCAGACTTACTAGTTTCATATTATTCTGACACTGCAATCGACCAACGAAAAATTCGTTGGCTCGAGCGGGATTTGAACTCGCATCTTCGGGTATCAAGACCGAAATCCCGCTAGAGCCAACGAATTTTTCGTTGGTCGATTGCAGTGTCAGAATAATATGAAACTAGTTTTTCGTATCGCAGAGGATGGTTCTGAAATTATCAGACTTGTTGCAAGGTTGTTCCAACAAGTCTGATACAGTCGTGATATAACAATATTGTTACAACCTTGGGTCGTCAACCTTGTAACTTTCTTGTTATATCATGGCAGTATCATACTTGTTATAGAACAACTTTGCTACAAGTCTGATAATGCCATCAAGCCTGTTACAAGTTGTTAACAGCTTGTTCCAAACTTGTTACAACAACTGGGAACAAACAGTGCGAATTCACAACTTGTCGACAGCTTGTGAACAGATTTGTAACAACTTATTTGCAGACCTGTAACAACTTGTGCGTTTTTACCCCCTGGGTGCCAAGACTGTTTTTTAGGTTGTTTAAGGGAAATTACTGCGCAGAAACCGTATATAGCTATATGAAACTCTCTAAAGCCTCTGGAACGGCCTTATAACATTTAACTATTTGTCGCTCAGTCTCTCTAAATCTTACTTATCTTTTCGCATATAGAAAATTTGCCAGACACTACCTCAAACACGCAAAAGAAGAATGTCCCTGCGCAAGCTGGCAGGAAAGTACCTCGTAGTGTTAGCGTTGTGGCTAAGACTGGCAGCTCATTGGCTAAGAGTGCTCCGGTACAGATACCAGATCCAATGAGAAGAAGTTACTCCCTCACTTTCCCACGAGAGAGAATGAGCGATGGCGAAATCGCTGATGGTATGTGTATGTTATTAACGTACTATTACAATAGGTAACCTATTTGTTTGAAAGTCGGTAAATTTGATTTCTTGATCGGCTTATTGGTAACGGACTCCAAAGCGACAGACCAGAAATCTGGTCGTTTTATAGAGGTGAGCAGGATGATGTCATGCACTTTTGAGATGTCACTGAACGTTTGGGCATTCAGCACATAACAACAGCGAGGCATACATCTAAATAATATCACCATTCTTTTATACTTTTGTACTGTACCTGCTAAAATGCTTTTGTGTTAAAAAACCGTCAACAGACATATGTTTAAAAATTATTTATTTTAATAACCTACATTAAACGTTTCGCCGGTTAAGGCTTCATCAGTAGGTCTTGCTTGACATCAATATAACGCCCTGTTTTATACATGATTTCCTAATTAAAATAACTAAGTGTATAAATACTAATTAAACTGATTATTATAATGTATACAATTTAAAAGTGTCGCTCGCATATAGTTATTGATGATTAATACTAAACGTCAATATATAATATATACTAATGCATGTATAAGACACTGTGTATCATCTATTCACACCTATCAATAAAAATAATTTCATGGACCACAACATATACATACTTACTATACAATGTTTAACGACATGGTCTACTTTCCAGATCTAAGAAATCCATTAACTTAATAATGCCTATACATAAATGTTACACCATACAAAATACCTAACAGCTGTAGAGGTCTCTAAATTACAATATACCAGTATACTGTAGATTACTTTATGTCAAAGTTAGAAGCAATGTCTGGATACAATTTAGAGACCGTTAGAGACAATTCAAAGTCCATTCACAATGCATTCACAATGGCTGGACAGTCCATTCACAACCTGTGCTGGTTGTTGATACAGCATTTGACCATCACCAGTCTCCTGTATTGGAGTCCTACCATCACTCCCAGGGTCATACACCATAACAGGATTTTCAACAGCCAGGAATGACTCTGCGACCATCATTTGACCATCATTCTCTTGAAATGGTGGACCATCGTGAATTTCACTCCCAGGGTCATACACCACAACATGATTTTCACCAGCCAGGGATGACTGTGTGACCATCATTTGACCATCATCATTCTCTTGTAATGGTGGACCATCGTGCATTTCATTCCCTGAGTCATGCGCTGTAACAGGATTTTCACCGAGTGCTAATTCTGCGACTATCATTTGACCATCATCATTCTCTTGTAATGGTGGACCATCATGTATTTCACTCCCAGAGTCATAGAACCCAACATGAATTTCACCAACCAGGGATGACTCTGCGACCATCATTTCACCATCATCATTCTCTTGTAATGCTGGACCATCATGTATTTCACTCTCGGAGTCGTGCACTGTAAGAGGATTTTCACTACGCAGCGCTGGCTCTGCGACCATCATTTCATACCTGGGCGTAGGGCTTTTACCTCCTTTATCCATGTCTTTGTGATCTGGGAACGCAAAAATAAAATCATTTCAAATCTGTACGTCAAACATGAACAGTTCTAATCAGGAATTTTGGCTGATTTAACCAGCACTCTCCCAGGCTGAGTGAAGAAAACTTTGAAATCTTTTTATACTTTTGGTCGAAATTTTCTCTTCCAACAGATGGGGCAAATTTCACTTTGAATTGGGGGATTAGTGGTATCAGTTATCCAGTTACCATCACAGAATATTTTGATCTTGTTACTTAGTACATGGTAGCCAATGTAGTTAATAGCTATAGGTCATAATATACCCCTAAACTTGATGAATGAAATGCAGTTATCTTTGAGTAAAACAATGAGAGCCTTGCTTATAGATGTTGGAAAATATCATATGATTAATCATTGATCATGCTTGTATGAAAATCTGTTTAAATAATGTAATTGATAGAGGTGTTTTATTAATCAGATAAAGTGAACAACTTTTTAGGAATATTTTCACTGTACTTTGTACTTTGTTTCGTTCACAATACTCCCATTATGATAGTATAATATAAAATTTTGTATTTGAAACCTTGGAACAAAATGTCTTTATTCCAACTTAAATTTTAGAACAATAATTATACGTCGTGCAGTGGAAATCTCGCCTTTTAACGAAACTATAGGGATTTGAGAACTACCGCGTATTTCAGCCGATGCCAAAACACGATTGTAGAAATGTAAAATGTATCTTTCAGTATATTTCGCATGGTACACTTCTAAAATATATTCGTATTTAGGGACATATGAATGTATTTATATGCCCCAATTAGTCAAAAGCTATAACCATACTGAATAATAAGCTCTTTGCAAATTAAACGAAAAACTACTTACCTGAATCGTCCGAAAAATTCGAGTCGCGCTGCGTACACAACTGCACTAAACATTGCATGAATATATTACTGATTTAAGAGGAGTAAGTGACTTTCGATTTAAGATGTTCAATACTTGCGCCCGCCTGTTCCGCTGACAACTTTGGGTCAATTGTGCATCAATTGTTTTTATACTTAGTTATCCTTTTTTATCCCCGACATAAATATGTGTCCATTAGTTTAGCTCTGACATAATTTACTTAACTTTTTACTTACATTCTTGTGTCAAACAAAAACATGTATAATCGTTTTTTTCTCAATTCTGCATGTTATTAAGTATATCCCTGTAAAGGTTTATACAACCTTTCTCACACATTGCTACAATATGTAAGTGTTTCGAACAAGTCATTTCATCTTAACTTGGTAGTAATTCCTGGTACTAATATACATATACATGTATATATACCGACGAAATCGTAATACGTGTTGCTTTCAGTACCAATTTGTTGGTATACTCGTATATACCATCATTTCTGTTATGAAAGTATAGATCTCGAGGCTTCCGTGCAATACCCTTCATGTTTCCCATGTCAAGCTAATAACCTCGCAGTACCCACGCATTCCATCACAAACAGAAATGTCTTGTCGTTCATTTATCGCTGTTAGATTCCTGATCTTTCTGGCTTTTCGTTATAGTTATAAACATTTGATCCATTATAAGCATTTTGTGGTGTTGGCTTTTCTATGTTTTTCCCACGATCGAACAGTTTGCATTTAAAGCCCAACATTGTGTCTGAAACATTTATATGTGTCTTGTCTTTTCTATTTTATTTTAATTATCCTATTATAATACATGCAGTTAATGCAGAGTTCCCGTTGAGCTTTTGAAAAAGATTTGTGCCGCCCACAAACTATATGAACAGGTCATGTGATTGGTTGGTTATTACAATGAAACACAATAAATGAACGAGTCACTGTTTTAGCAAGCCAATCACAGGGCATGATTATTTCAGCCTTCACATTTACCAAATGACTTGATGTGACGTCATGTTTCATATGAGAAAATATTCTATCACTGCGATAAAATTATCTGTTTATACAGAGATGAACATGTATTAATCGCTGATATCTGGAAAGATTATATTGCTGTTATCTTCTTAAGTTATCACTTTGTACATGTTTATATGTTTCGATAACAGATCTTAAACCAGCCTTGTTACGGCGTTTTGATCGTTGAATAAGTTATACTTTAACCAGCCCCGGTCAAACGAGGTGTTTCAATTACTGAACAGTCGAATCTGCTTATATAGCAATAGCTTGGGATAAAGGTTCTAATCTGCATGTATTTGGTTTAGGGTGATAAGTGAGATCAGATTAAGGATTTGGGACCAGGCTATACTCAACCTCGTACCCAGGCTATTTTCTCTGAGAAACTATTTGGAATCTGTTTGGAAGCTATTTAAGAATTAAATTCGAATCAACGGCATATACTTGATACAAAAACATGCCACAAACATTACAGGCTTGAAAACGGAAGCGAGGTAGCGAGGGGGGCGTGACTAAAACACCACATAAGTTGCATACGACTTATACACGGATACATACGAGTAACACACGAGTACATAACGAGTACACACGACTTGCATAGTAAACTCGTTGTAATTAACATCGTCAATGCTTCCGGCCCACACTCGTTTTCTTTCACTTTCGCTTTGTTATCTAATATTAACTAGCTTTATAAATATGGATTCCGCTGAAGGAAAGTTAAATTCGATTAAAATAAAGTGACAAGTTGTATATATTTTCATTTTAGTGTTTATTTTCTATAGTTGCATGTCTAGTTAGTTGTTTTGTTAACTGTAGTTTTGCATGAAAATGACCAAACATTCCAGTATTTTTATATAGATTGAGAGTTTCTAATCCAGAGTTCCCGTTGAGCTTTTGAAAATTGTGTTTGTGAACAGTTTATGTGATTGGTTGTGTGGTACCTATAAATACATGCTATATACATGCATTGATGTTGAGTTGAAGATTTTGCATGCAATTGTTCCTCGCACCATGGTACATTTATTTCAAAGAACCAATGGCATAACACAGTTGCGAAACGAGACAGGTCACAGGCGCAAAATTATTTTCCACCTAAACCAAACACTAATTTCAAGAAAAAATTATTTAGTTACATGCAGGGGTGCGATGGCTTGGAATATAAACTATAGTTTACCTTGTGATCTTAAAAGATCTCAAACTATCCAATCTTTCAAAAATAAGTTTTAATTCGAACGAAAGTATAATCATAATTTCCTATTGTAATAATTTATATTTTGTTTTCTTTCTGTATATTGTTATAGTTTTGTGAAATAGTTCCGTATTGAAATAAAGTAGTTTATATATAACAATAATAAAATAATAGTAAGATGGAAGCGAGGCATAGAGCGAGCTTTGAGATCAGACGTTTTAGAGTGTTCGACATGGTTAGACTGCATGACATTATAGTAATAAGACATGAATTTCTAAAATATAGTCTTGGATGTTTGTGTTTTAACAAAAAGTTATGTAGTTTCTCACTTCATATAAATAACAATTTATATCGGGATTTATATGCTGTATGCACATTCATTATGACATTATTATAGTCTAATATTAGTACCTTGTAAAGTGGACGAAGACTTTCTTCGCTGTTGGGAGATGCTTCAATCTTGGGCAAAATTACCCAAATATCGTTCAAACTATATTCTTTCTGAAAACTCTGACACCTTTTTTTTAGTCTATATGCATGTATACAGACAGTCGTGTGTGCGACTTTTAGCTGCAGGTCTACACCGGGCAGTATAGAGTAAACATGCTGTGCTCGCGATTCCGCATGCAGTTTCATTAATTCACCATGCAATCATGCACACAACATGTTTTGTGTAGTATATACCGTTGCTATTGTACCGTAAAATGACAAATCTGATTGGTCCGCGGGAGAGATTATACTGAGATTAAATTTATGCAGTTTAAACGCGCAAGCGGCCCAATTTCAGTCAATCGCGAACCCTGCATGAGATTGCCATCCTCACTGGAGGCTTGCTGATACTCTCGGAAACACCAACGAAAATCGGGCTTTGATTGATTGTTCTTCAATTGTTCGTACCCATTTCTTTTACGCTGATTCCGTGGTAATTATTATTGAGACCGAGAGTCTATTTATTGAGTCAAGCACATATATAGTTTAATTATTGAGTTTATTTCTGTTTCTGTATTATGTTTAAACATATCAATGAAACACACAGTATATAACTTTAATAAACTTATTAATTATGAGTTTTCTTCGCTTCTCATATGAATCAATAGACTATATTCTGATATTATCAGGCGCGGATCCATCCCGACCGTGGCAAAAGTGGCTCGAGCCACGGTCAGATTTTTCCCACCTAAGATTTTCCGGGGTTCACCTTTGTTGGATACTACATTAGACTGCTTACGCATTTTTAAGAAGTATATATTAGTTATTTGAAATACAGCAAAATTGAGCAAATATAGGTCTATAGCAAATAATTTGAATAATATCTTTCGTAATTGTTCTCATATTACAGTAATATATATGTGCTAAAAGCAGGAAAAACTTCCGAAATATATTCCTTGTTCAATAGTATAATTATCCAGTTAAACACTGAACTATAAAAACCGCCGAAAGTGTGCCGAATTGTGCCGAATATGTTCGGAAAACAGTCGTAAATTCGAAGCTGCGATCACAGCCACAAAATGCCACGGTCAGCGTGCAAAAAATTGCGCAATGGTTACTAAATATAGTAACTTTCTGCCACGGTGCAGCGTTGCAAACCAATCACAGGGCAAGTTGTGGTCATGTGCGCCACGGTCTGCCACGGTGGCTCTGTTTTGATTGCGCAATACAAATGATCAACAATAAAGTTCGATACTTGTCGACTTGACGGGATAAATTAGAATAATACATCCCAGCTACATGGATGCTATCAGGATGGAAGCTTTTAAAAAAAGTCGATGTTCTTAGCAAGCTCGACGAAATCTTTCAACTAGCAAACCTAAGCGAACATATTTCAGGGGAATTATCGCTCTTGACTCTTGAGGCAACAATATGATGAATTTATCACTGAAGAAAGGCTGCGCCGTTGCATCTACTGGCGACATCGTGCTGCCAACGTGC